TTTAATTTTTTGATGCTTTGGCAACACTGTTTCAAAACTTTCATGCCAATAAAGCAAACTTGAATTGAAAAAAATTGAATTTAATTGTTAAAAGACACGGTTTATTTAACGTCAACATTGTTTTTTAAATACCCATTGTTGTGTTGTGATTGTGTGTAAAGACTCACACCAGCCTCTACCTGTTTGGATGCACATCCACCACAGACTGCTTACTAGACTGTGTTTGTGGTGCGTTGGAGCTACAGGCCGACAACACGTCTCGTTCTGGCGTTCTTACCGACAGTTCAGAGCATGTTGTGACCTCCAAAACTACCCAACTGGAAAAAAGGGGTGACATCATGCACTCATGTGTGCGTATGTGTGTTGGTTCAGTGCCACCGCTAGAGTCTAAAACACTTGCACACGAGTAACGTTTACACACAGCAAATGCAGAGATTTTGAAAACACTACACTGGTGACGATTACAAAAACAAGCCACAGAAAATACAACAGCTAAAATCAAAACGTTTACAAATGAGACAATGGCTTCAGCACTGTGACCCTGTAAGTCATTTTAAATTATTCCTCCCCAGGAACAAAAAAAATATCTTGTAAAATAAACTATTTGTAATTTTACTAATGAGCCAGTGTACATTATGTCTATGATGCCACATGTATGTTGATCATTGGCAGCATATTTACTGTATTTATTGTATAATATATTTATGATGCATAATAAATTTAGGCTTTTATGTAAAAAAATAAATAAATGTATATGTGATGACTATAAATATTTTGTATTATTTTATTCTAATGATTAAATGTATTTTCCTATAAAGTAACGTAGCAGTGGTTGAATGAATCTACTCTGCCTGTAGAACATGGAGTAACAACACGCTGTGGCTCTCCGTCTGTCTCAATGCAGCCGGAGGTTACAGAGGGGGGCGTGGTGCTCCACCACAACAACGCTTACCCTATAATGGCGGGCGGCTGTCATATTGTTATGACAGCAGCGTGCAGGAAATACAAAATACACAAGGCGCATTAATGTAACATGATAATTCTCCACATTCGTTACGTTGACTATAGCTTTTTTATGCCGTTTATAACACATTTGATTGACTCGGTTACTGTTAAAACATATAGGAATAAAACGGGTTATATTTTTGCAGCTACGACTCAACTACGTTAACAATTCCGCAGCAGCTGGTTGTGGTTGTAATTGTAATGGCCAGGTCGCGCGACTATTGCCCTGGAACGTCGTAGTGGAGCTCGAGGGGTTCACGAGCGGGTGAACACGCGACGAACGCGCTGGCAGCCATAGCCCGCAGAAAACATCGACTGAACCGGGCTTTATAGAGTTGTGTTTATTACCTGCTTGTAATAAACAACTCTAACTTTATGAACTCGCTTTTAAGTACAATTTACAGAAAAATAAATACACCGATGCCTACCTTTCGGTGGCAACATGACATCCCCATTCTCTCTCTTCACTGCAGAAGTGTGATTAATTCTGCTGATATCGTTGTGGTTGTTGTTACTCGCGGGTCCGGAGGTCACCGATACTTTATTATGTTTCCTTTTCTCCTCTCCGCCTCCTTTGTCCTTCTCACGCTGTTTATCTTTACTCTGTTTCTTGGGTTTGTGGAGGAAGAAATCGCTCTGTTTGAAGACTTTATGTGTGTTAGTCGGTGGTTGGAGTCCACCGGTAGCAGGCACCGGAGGATTGTTGCTCGTCTTCACCGGGCTGAAGCTCCACACGCCCGCCCCGCTGCTGCTGCCGTAACTCTGCTGGAGTTTCTCGCCTCCCACTCCTCCGTCCCCGCTGAGTTTCTTGGGCTTAACACTCCGCTCCTCGACTCGGACCTTCTTGGGCGGCGGTGCGTTGAAATCCCCGGAAGACGGCGAGCGGTTGTCCGGGGCTCCTCTCGCCTCGGTCGGCTTGACGAGCGGGCTTCTGGCGGAGGCGACCGCCAGGGCTACCGCAGTAGCAGCTCCGGTGGGGTGAACGGAGCCCAGCGAGTCAGCCATCTTGAGGCTTCTCTCTATTTACTCTCTTCCCCCAACGGTCGCCGCTTTTTTTTTTTTGCGCGACGAGCAAGGAGGCAGTGAAGGGGCGGTGCTTAATTTGATAGACAGGCAGTCAGGGAAGGGGGCGGGGTTTAGGCTTGACCATAGGCTTGACTGACAGGCAGAGAGGGAAAAACTATAGGCGGGGCTTAGCAGCAGTGTGTGTACTGTTGCTGCATTTTGAGAAAATTATGAGGAGCAAAGTAAATAAAAAGCATCACGAGAAACATTCTGAATATTTTAATATTCTAAATGTAATTTAACAACCAAGTATTTGTAATCCTTATATCTGTTCTGGAGGGAAGGAACTTCTGAATACTTCAAACTGTTTTGGTTGACATCGGAATCATTTAGTTTGCATTGAAAGTAAATGGTCTGCAGATTAAATGATAAAACAATTAGCTGCAGCTATAGTTTAAAACACTCAATCTCATTGCAAAATAGATGACCAAAAAGTCCAAAACATTTTGTTTTATTTCAGTTTTATTTTTAAATCCACGTTCACCTGAACACAACCCTAATAAACAGTACACTGCCCACAACTAATTGACGGAACATGTAGAGAAGTGTGCTGGTGGCAAAACATGGGTTCACTGAAACATTCCCATCAAAGTCTGTCTTTCATCCGATCTTCATAACTGGATGTGATTATCACTGTCTCACTCTCTCTCACACACACACACACACATCACTGTGGATCCTCCTGTAAACACTTTGATTTATCGACATGAAAACATGTTCCTTCCCTCAGACCGATTGGCCGAGCTGTCGGCACAAGGCCCGTCAGTGAGTGACAGCCAATGTCGTTAATACTAAACATGAGGCGACTGCACGCGGCCGGTCATAAACACTGACAGGATCATTGTACGATGCTATTATATGGCCTGTGTGAACAGTAACCATCTCCAGAAGAACGCCGTGAAGTTAGTGTCGGCATCACATTCTTCCAGCATATGTGACTCATACGCCTAAAAATAATTCTTACTGTATCTTCGAGGCTTTTTAAGCTGACATAGTTTTCAGTTCCTTCGGATGGCGGTGCTGCCTGCTGCTACTGCTCACACACACCCTGAACACTGATTGGCTACATTACATAAGATGTTAAACTGCTCCATGGGAAAACTGCGGTGACCCAGTTAAAATAGCAACCTGGCTTAATTCATACAACACAGTCAGATAGAGAGAGGGTGTGTGTGTGTGTGTGTGTGAGAAAGAGTGTTTAACACATCTCAGAAAAGGCAAGGAGTGAAATACAGGGAGGTAGTTTAAAAACTGTGCAGGTGGAGTGGTGAGAGGCCTGTGGAATGAAAGTACTGGATCCTCCCTTTTAATGCACAATGAGTGTGAACTGCTATTTTCATAATACATTCATTTATAGAAGCGTTATAAAGTCGTTCTTCTCAGATGGAGTGTGCCTTTTTTGTATTTTTCTTGTTGGATGCTTTCATCAAGACTTCAAGTGACATCTCACTATTAGAGCAAACTGAAAATCCATCAATTAATGTTTTCCTTGCATCTTCACTCGCGATCTATACTTTATTCCAAACATCCCTGTACAGGTTTGTAGGTCTGCAACAGGTGCTTTTAATCAATGGCCATTACCAAAGAGGACCGGCACAAAGCGGCCTAAACTCCGCTGCACATTAAATATTGTAATAAACTGTATAATTGATCTGAAATGAGCATTGGCTACGTGTCAGCAGAAGCAAATAATTACATTATGTCCTCCCACCTGCTGTGCCTCTGTGTGTGTAGAGTGAACGCAAATGTGAAACCTTCAAGGTCTCTTTGTAAGACGGTGAGCGACTGTGTTTATACCACCTGCAGGGATTAATTAATCGGCATATTAGTGTGTGTGTGTGTGTGTGTGGATACATTTGTCTCACAAGATCTTCCAGGCGTGAGAGAGGATCTCCTGCTGTGACCCCCCTCCACACACACACACACAGTAAAAAACAACCTACACACGTACTTTTTCATACATCATCTCATACGAATAAAAACAAAGAGGCGTCTTTACTTAATGTTGATTTTTTTACTGATTGATTTCTGCAACATACAAACATTTGTGTGTGCGCGCGTATGTGTGTTTTTATGTTTGTGTGTGTAAGGAGGGGCACGAGGTGTGTGTGTGTGTGGGGGGGGGTGAAGGTGAGTCCCACAGTAGGCGTTGAGCAAGCAGCAGCGAATCACATCGTTCACGCTCACGCCGCTAATGATGATTGGAGGAAATGGGACAAGGGGGGGGGGGGGGGGGGGGG